CAGGGTTTCCAACCCATATTAGCCCAATAGGCCCAATAGTTAGGTCCTTTGACCAATTAGGGTTTATTAGGCCCATTATGATTCCACTAGGCCCATTAGGGTTTCACTAAGCCCATTAGGGTTTCGCTAGGCCCAATAGGGCTTCATTGGGCCCATTAGGGTTTCAAGCATCCCAAAATGAATCACAATACAAACGAGGCACACCGCCACCCGACACGGCGGCCGGTGGCGGCAGGAGGCGGCAGCCACCACCTCACGGTGGTGGTTAGGGTTCCTTTTTCATTATTCCAATTTATGATTACATTTTACAAACTCTAATCCCAAAATAAACACACTAAACAAACTAATCACACACACACATAGCCACCTTGTGGTGGCTGGCGGTGGCGCATGGCGGTAGCCACCATCTTACGGTGGTGGTGGTGGCTGTTCTCGAGAGTTCCGACCAACTAACACCACACTAATAATGGAAACACACCCAAAAACACTTCAGCTTCACGAGTCCTCGAACTCAGCCACCATTTCACGGTGGCAGGCGGCGAATCTTGGTCTTCAACAGAGTGGCAGCGGCGGCGTCAATGACCGGGGAGGCTGCCAGCCGCAACAGATTAACATTCGGCGACGGTTGGTCTTCCACGAGAACAGCAGCGACGCGACGTCGGAAGCGTCGCGGTAAGGCTACGGTGATCGGAGAAACGCCGACAACCATCGTGAGACGTACGTGCGGCGGGTGGCAGAAGGCAGAAGAAGAAGAAAGGTGGAGCGGGGTGGCGGAGATCGTCGGTTCCGGCTTCATCAACGACTGTGCAAGGCAGCTGCAGCGACTACAGCGGCGGCTCGGTGGTTCGCGCTACCGGTTCTTGTTCCCGGCATTGGTGGTCGGAGGTAGCAGCGGCATCGGAGATCGAAGAGGTGAATGGTGGCGGCTGGAGGGAGGTATAAGGTTGGAGAGTGACGGCTGCATAAAATGGTCGATAGGGTTAGGGTTTATTCCCTATATACCCAACGCCTTAAAGCATTTTTCCATAATGCCACAAATAGTCCCTCCCTTCACATTTTCCTTTAAAGCAAGGCCAAAATTTACACTCCAGCCCCCTAACTCTAAAATTCCTTTCAACACAAGTCCAAAGAAATTGCCAAAGAGCCCCTAGCATCAGAATTCTATTCATAATTGGTCCGGAAGTTACATTTTAACCCCCGACTTGTAAAAAATCTTTACAAAATAAATTCCGGATAATCCAATTTATAACATTTGGCTCCCAGAACCAACATCTCACTGAACATTATGAATTTTAGGGCTACTACTCTTTCATAAATTTTATTTATTTATCTATTAAATAAACAGGGTGTTACAATATACCACATATGTAGTGGGTGCCACATCATCACCACATTCTCTACCAGTAACAAGGGTTACCTACCACTAACACACCACCCCACCTCATTTTTTATTTAAATTTAATTCAAAAATACAATAAAATCATTTTTTTTTAATACTAGTTTTCCATTAAATTAAAAGACCAAATTACATTAAATAAAAACTACATTAATTGAAATAAAAAAAATAAAAATAACAATAAAAATAAAAATTACATTACTTAAAATAAAAAAAATAAAAGAAAACATTAAAAAAAACTAAAAATTCCAAACATAAATAAAATAAACTACCCCATACGCCTACGTTGGGCTCGAACCGACTCTTTCATCGCGAGAAAAAGCTCCAAGTCTTTGCCCTCGAGGTCGTCCGCTTTCATTTTCAAGATTTCTATATCAGTTTTTGTTTGGATCGTCGCTTGTGCCTCTTGAAATGATGTTTGTGCTTCAATCAATTTTTGCTCCATCCGAGTCATCACCTCGGCCTTCGTTTCTTGAAGTTGCACATATAGATCAAATTTATCGCCAAAAAGATCCATAACACTAGAGCTCGAAGATGTTGAAGCCGCTTTTTTTGCTTTATTTCTTCCAACGGGTCGACGAAGAGGTTGCTCGTTTTCAAGATCTAGCGGATCATCATTGATGTCGATGTGTGTTCGGCTGTCCGATTGTTGGGAAGTTCCATCGGGGTTTCTCGAACACTTTGAACCTGAAGATTGCGAAGTTCCTTCCGTTTGCTCTTTCCAGTTTGGAGCATCTTTCAATTTTAGCCACAGTTTCATATACGGAAAAACTTTGCGTGTTGGAGTTGTTTTTTCAAATTGCCCCATGGCCGCCTTGAAAACATCAATATCGTTCGAGCCGTTTTTGCGTATATTTAGGAGGTTGTTGTAGATTCCTCCAAACTCGGTGCATTTTAGTCGAATATTGCGCCATTTCGACGTAATTTGATCGGCATTTCGAGTTTCACTTTCCATTAACTCGTAGAAAATGGCTCGAACTTTCTCCCAAAAACTTTCGTAAGGTTGACTATCTCCTACAATTGGATCTTGGGAAGCCGACACCCATGCCTCCGCTAACTTTTCTTCTTCGTCTTTTGTCCATGGGACTCTTTCTTGGGTGGTGGTGGGTCGGCCCGGTTTTTTCTTTTTTTCTTTTTTGGTTGAGGTGGTGGTGAAGGTTACGTTTCCGAAACAAAATCCGACGAAAGTGGTGGTTGTTGTGGTTGTGACGCTTGTTGTAGTTGTTGGAATTGTTGGTATTATTGTTGCATTTGTTGTTGTTGGAAAGTCGGAAAAGGTTGATATTGTCGTTGGAAAAGTGGTGTTTGTTGGATAGGGGAACCGGTTTGAAGCAAATTGACAAAACCGCCTTTAGGTGATTCCATAGTCGGGAATTGGCGAGGGGTTGTATCTAACGCAAAAGCGTTATCGGGTTTGCGATTTCTACAGTTTGGAGGGGTATTTTGGTTGGGATCCATGGTTTTTGGTTATGAAGATGTAGTGTGTAGTTTGTGTATAGAGAAAGAAAAGAATGGTGTAAAAAAAAGGATAAAAGTGTGGTATTTATAGGTAAATAAATTGGTTAAATTTTTGTTTATTATATATATTTTTTAAATAAACTAGCCGTTGAACGGCTATAAACAATTGGTCAAAGTGGGCTGCGATCTTATTGGGCGTTTGCTTTCGTTATTCCGAACACGAGGCTACACGAAAACGACTGACCACGAAACAACGGGGTGGTGTGCACGACTGTTGTTCGTGGCCAGCTCATCCACGACCGGCCTTGGCCTAATTTAGAGTTATTTCGTATTCTATTTAAAGACATTATAAATATTAAAAACAATTATTTCATTTCAAATTAATAATTTATTTATTTAAATATAAAAATTGAGAAAAGTATTTTACATTTAATAAACCTATTTTACAAAAATAGATAAACCAAATTAGATCACAACATGAAATATAAAAGTACCTACACAAAAAATGAAAATTGCAATATCCATCTTTGCCAAAAAAATATTCCTTGATTAAAACATTTTTTAAAACGATATGAGTTTTTCTATTATGAAATTGTGCCCTATTGTTCATGTAAATGGATAGGTCTATAATTAGATTCATAAAGTATTGAAAAGGTTGTTCATCATATTCAATAGAGGTTTTTCATTGTCGTTTTGTAGGCATGCTATTTAGAAATTTTTGTGGATCATACTAGTGAATGTATGTGTGTCGTTCATCCTCCACAATCATATTATGAATGATGATCCACTGAATCATAATTTTCCCCATCATATTCTTGCCCATGACTAGGGTGTCAAAGAAATGCAAAACAAGCTTTTAGAATTCAAAATAGTCCTTCAACATCTTTTCTAGCGATGTCTTGGAGTTCACAAGTATTTCCCTTTGATGTGGATATCTGTGACGATCAAACGTCCCAAACTCTATGAAACATACGAATATGCAATGAGAGATGTTATAAAAAACATGAATATAAAATAAGTATCACTCTATATGTCGCAATGAAACCGAATCTTACTACGCAACCAATCATGACAAAGAACTCAAACTGGTCTTGCTCATCTGCATGGGCGGATCTACTATGGTGCTCGTAGTGGTATCGGTAACGTTTGGTTTTTTCGGACGCAGTGAAAAAATTTTCAAAATTTTGTGATTTTTTTTCTACTATCGTGACACTACTAAAATTTCTCGTGACACCCCTATCATGAAATCTTGCGTCCGTCCCTGCTCGGCTGTCTTAATATGTGTAATAGTCCCCTCATCACTCTTTTCCAGAATGTGACAATATGCGGGAAGACATGTAAATGAGTTTTTCGAGATCCCCTAAAACTTAAGAGTAAGAAATATCTATTTCAATCTATACGAAAAGGACAATCAAATTATTATATCTCTGAAACAGAATCAAGTATTTTTGGAATATTATTTTTGTATCATTAGATATTGGTTTTGTAGGTAGAAGAGAAAGGGCCAAAATTATTTTGCTTCCATATGTTATTTTACTATCCTGATGGTGATATTAACTCTTTTTCTTATAAAGCAACACTAGTGGAGCCCTTAAAATAATAAAAAATGGGGCCTATTCAAAAGGAACTACTTTTGTTCCAAATTGCCCCTCACCGTATTCTTTGCTTTACTTAAGGTGTTGGACTTCAAACTCGCATTCCCACTTCACTCTACCTTCTTGGCTTCTTTTCATGTACTCTACATTAAATTTATTCACTGGTCACTGTATTTTATTCCAAATTGCCCCTTACGGCCTTACCCTATTCTTCGTTCAACTATTTATGAATATAAACACAAGTTAATAACTATAAATTAATCAAATTTTACTTTTTGGGTTGTAAAGGTATATATATTGATTAACAAAAGTGAGCCAACATAACTACAGTGGTCAAACAAATAACCGATGCATCCACATTCCACAGTCCACGCCACGTATATTCGGAACCCATAGTTTGAGAACCTTCTCGTGGGGTATGAATGTCATTTCACACTTGAAAATGGAGTGTTACTTAATGGCTAAGAAGTGCAATTTAATCATTTTTCTTACTTTGTATATTAAAGTTGCTCCATACCCCCTTGGTGCAAAGAAAAGCAATGGAGCCAGATGTACACAAATTTGGAATTCACGTACCTTTTTAAAACCATAAAACCACTAAAAGCTATAGAAATAATGAGATGACAAGATATAGAGATCATTTAACAAAGAAAGCAAAATGTCGAGATTTAGCAACACCTTGATAGGTTTCTTGAACCTACTGACACTCCTGGTTTCCATTCCGATCATCGGTGGCGGCTTATGGATGGCAAGAAGCACCGCCACCTGTGAAAGCTTCCTTCAAAGGCCACTTATGGTGTTAGGGTTTGTGATCTTGCTAATATCACTAGCTGGTTTCATAGGTGCATGTTTTCATGTGGTATGGGCTTTGTGGGTGTACTTGGTGGTGATGTTGTTCTTGATCACCGCCTTATTGGCCATGACGGTTTTTGGGTTTGTGGTGGCGGGTCCTGGCGGTGGAGTGGAGGTTCCCGGTAGGAATTATAGGGAGTACCATTTGCAAAGTTATTCACCTTGGTTGAGGAAAAGGATTGAAAATCCTGATTATTGGATGACTATTAGAAGTTGCATCTTGGGGTCCAAGACTTGTAGTAAGATTGTTATGTGGACACCTGTTGACTATTTGACTCGAGACATGTCTCCGATTCAGGTACTTTTTTAATGATCAATCACCTGTAAAATAGACCATTTCCTTGCTAAAAAGTCGATTCTTGTTCATAATTCCAAAGGTTGAAATGACTGTCAAAAATTTGTTACTTATATATGGGAAAGCCCATTTTCTCGACTTTCTCTATATTAAGTCATTTTTTCCATAACAAGTCATAATTAGGAAACACATATAGAATCGACGGAGTAAAGGGTTTTTTTTTTTTTTTTTTGAATTAATGAATTTGATTAGTTTTATGGTTAACTTGGACAACTATTCACGGGTTGTTTCTTTTTTACTTAATCTGTACATAATAACTTAATTAATCAGTTAAGTCAACAAAAACATGAATCACTATATTACGTCACTAACCATTTACCTATTTTCATTTCTTCTTTTTTACTCTCAACTTTGCTTATAGTAAAATGGTTGACGGTTTTACTCAATCTAGAAAAATAAACATACATTATGTGTTATCCTAACATACATCATTACACATTCAATCATTTTACCCATACATGACATAACACAAAAAAAAAGAAGAAGAAACAGCCCCTAAGTACGTGTACATGTTAAGTTCATGAAGCAAAAAACAACGTCTTAGATGATTACATTAATTTTGTTGTATGTTAATGTATGTAGTCAGGGTGTTGCAAACCACTAACTTCATGCAACTATGAAGCGCCGATGATGACACAGGATCCCGACTGCTACAAATGGAACAACGACCCAAGCGTGTTGTGCTATGAATGTGACTCGTGCAAGGCGGGGGTGCTAGAGGATGTGCGGCGGGATTGGCACAAACTCTCGATTCTCAACATCGTTATGGTGATGCTTCTGATTGGCATTTATTGTATCGGTTGTTGTGCATTCCAGAATGCAAAGAGGGACGATAGCTACCCTTCTAATAGAATGTATAAAGTTCGACCCAAATGGAATTTTTATTCTGGTGGACGATAGTTTACCAACTAATTTTGTCATTTTGTTTTATGGTAGAACTATAATCAGATTTATAAGATATTTCGTGTACATTTATAGAAATTTTGATTTTTTTTTAGTTGCAACTTTAAATTTCTAGTAAATTTGAAGTACAAAATAATATATTCATATAGCAGGGTTTGGTTTGTTTTTAGAAAGTACTCAATAAACAATAGAAATTTAAAAATTTACTGATTTGGACTGGATTTCCATGTAACCCGATAAACAAAATGTAAACTTTGGATTATAAAATATATATGAGAAATAATATAATAACTAGATTATGACCCGCGTTAAACGCGGGAACATAAATTAAATACATATCATACTAATAGGTGGCATTGTCTTAGGTGGAATTTTAATAAAAAATGTTAGATTCATTTTAGAGTTTTTGAACCAAACTTGTTAAATAAAAATATTTAATATTTATATTAGAGCAATTTGATTTTTTAATACAATAATTTTTAATATAAATGATCAACATGATCTTTGTTTTATCACAACATGATGCGACTCATTGATTAAAACATGTTGTATAGTAGCTTTATGAATTGATTTTGTTCGGTGTACCAACCTCTATGGAGGCTCATATGGCTCTTTTCATATTAGCCATGTAAAACCAAAAACAACAATAAGTTGTTATATGTACCAGCAACGTTAAATTCTACAAAGAAATTCGATAAACATTATAATTAAAGTGCATTGTTATAACCATAAACATCAAATTCAGACATTGTAATTTGGTCAATTTCTAAAGTATTTTTTCCTTATAAGAATTAAAATATGATTTTTCAGGCTACACTCTATCTCACACACACACACACACACACACATATATATATATATATATATATATATATATATATATATATATATATATATTTCGATCAAAGAAATTATTACAAAAAAAAACATGTTATGAACAAAAATATATCATTAGTTTCATAATTTGCCAAAGGTTAACACTAATAAATAATAATGAACTTTCACAAATCTTGCATTTTGATCACTGCATCCAACTAACAAATGAAATTCAATTTAGAGGATTGATTCAAGAAGTGCATCAATGACTTCTTGTAGCTGAATTTGGGGAAATGCTAAGACCTACTGAGATATGAGGGAACAGTCTGTAAGACTACGGTTGGTTTCTGGAGGGCAATACAAATTCAAAATCATTAGCACATATCTTTCCTACCTACTTCAATTATCAAATTTAGATCAAACTTGTCAAAATCAATTTACAAAAAAATAAAATAAAATAAAAAATAATAATAAAAAAAAAACTCAGATATATAACCTAGCAATCAAACAACATATTTTTCATAGAAATAAATATCACAAATCTACAATTTACACTTTATATAATATTCTTAAATTATATTTTACCTTTGCATCTTTAATGGTCATTAACACTTCTTTCTGTCATATTGTTGTGACACAAAATAACTATAGAGTACACACATGGTTAATCGTACCGACAACAATCAATGTTTTTTTCTGAGAAATATTGATGTAAGTTTAAATTATATAATAAAAAAAGTAAAATGAAATATGAGGGTAAAAATAATCCAAAAACTATTTGACATAATGTATATTTCATAAATGAAAGTTAAGTATATAAACCCCATCTACTTGTTGGAGATCAAACTTATGAAGGAAAATCGTCATTTGCACAGTAGATGATGGAGGACGAAGCGATTCTACAATTAGCGGATGTGCTTTCTGGACTGGATTTGACAAGAAATCTTAACAATAAAGAAGATGTTATTTTTGTTGCTTTAAAATAGGATCATTGATGAAGATCCTAGTCGTAGTGAAGCAATTTGTGACGGAGAAACGTTATGAAACGATGCATAATGAAGTTGGTATAAATGTATATTCATTTATAGTAAAAAGAATAATAATATTTTGAAATTTTTTTAAGGTGTAAGTTGTTAATCATAGTATGAACAAACCTCTATAATAAGATATTTTTTCCGCATTGAATAACAACTATCATACGGGTTTGTTTCTTATTTTCCAAATAGTCAGCAAACTGTTGTGCATACCTATCCCAGAGTGTTACATTTATTTGTTTGCTTCTACAAAAGCCAAAAACATAATAAATATACAATATAAAATGACATTATAAAGTAAAATTTGACACAAAATTTCGAAAAGTAAACATACTCTAGATCTTCCAAGCTCAAATTGACTCTCTTTGATAATTTATTTTTCTTGTTCATAAGGGTTCCACTGGGAAACATGTCACAACATCTCCAATAACATCTATTATATAAGATAAAAAATGGAAGATTAGTATAAAAGTTTCGTTATGGTGAGTGATGGTAAATAACAAAATATCGTTATATAAATCGTTAGATTGTAACATATAAACTAACCAACATGTGTGTTATCAATAAAAACATCATCCAAAATGGCGTTGAAGTTTGCAAAAGAGTATCCATAAAGTAATCCAGTCCACTGACTGCATGGTGTAACTTTGGTTGTGATATAAATATTGATTTTGTTTTCATTATCAACAAAACTATTTTCGTTTTGATTAATACCAAGTTGTGGATTTTGGATGTAGTAACAATCATCCTCATGAAACAAACTTTAAAATCTTTCAACCTATCTATTAGTAACATCTGTCTCGATCTTCCTTCCCTAAATGCACAAAAAAAATCAGTTTATATATTGTTATATGTGGTTCGAATGAAATTGTAAGAAAATTCATAAAAAAAATGTTATTACCTGTAAGAATCATATTAGTTTTGTAAGTCTTTGTTGAAGATCCATAAGCAAGATGTTTAATGAGACGGATTATTCTTACTCTCATGGTAAATTGACTTTTTGAAACATCAAGTTGGTCTATGAAGGTAATGTTGCTTTGAACCATGTTTCTGTTTGTGAAAAAACTAATGATTGTTAAACACATGTGACCCAACCAAGTAATTAATATGGACCGGGTAAAATAGGAAAAACAAGAACAATTCAAAATCATAGGATCAGAGTGAAAATATAGTTTTAGGGACGGAATTTATAACTTTTGACATAACTCAAGGACGCCGAATGTAATTTAGTCTAAAACACATAATGTAGAAAGTCTTTTGTATGTAATCAAAATCAAAATTATAAAAATAAAATAAAATTCTTATCATCCAAATATGAATGATGTTATATATACTTTTAAAAAACCTCATAATGCAAACTTGACAATAAAGTAAGTATAAATAGTTTTTGTTGATGCTCATCATAAAACATATCAAGCAGTAGAAGGGGGGCATCAGTGGTAGGGGTAGGTGTATTTCAGGTACAGAGAATGTATACATAGATGTTGTTTTGCCCTCATTCATCATGCAAATAAAATTCAATGTAGAGTATTTTTTTTATATGGTGTATAGAAATATACAGTTCCATTCATTGATATATACCATAGTATTTGATTCATGATTAAATTTGATAACCCTCACATATTAAGAACATCGATTACACAAGTTTCAGGAATGTTGCAAACAGAGGATATAACGTTGATTATACACAGACTCGTAAACAAACATAGGTGAACACATTAAAAAAATCGATATAAAGAATATAATTTTGTTTTTGTAACTAAATGAATGAAACTAATATGCTTAAAGTAGATTGATTAATTTTTTTTATGACCTCTCAACATGAATACAGTAATAACAGGTAATAAGAACAGAGTAAATGCAAGAAATTGGAGAAGAAGAAGGAGAACAAAGTAAAGAAAGAACCTATTAAAAGGAATTGGAGAAGAAGACCACTGAAGAAAACACTGTAAATCGTAGGACACAATCCAAAATCCTAAGAATAACAACTTCAATGTAATCGTATATATAGGATGTTTTTGAATAAAAAAATCATTATCTTCCAAAAAAATTGGGATCCTAAGATATCTTCTTGTAGATTTTCGGCCATTTATTTGGAAAAAAAGGAAGATACCAGTTATACCGATTCAAACGTTTAAATTAATTGACTTGCTTATTTAATGAGTTTTAAAATTCAAACCAATATCTCAAATTGATTCATTTTATGTGGGATATATTGAGAGATAAATTATGAATAATATTGACCTTAATTTTGACACTAAAATATTTTGTTGATTTAATGGGATCTGATTAGATTTTATATATGATATGCTTATTTAATGAGTTTTTTTTTTTAAAAAAAAAGAAAAAAAAGAAAAAAAAAAGAGTTAAACGGATTTGAATTTAAAGCCAAAAGCTATAAATAAGAGAGTTAAATTATGAACAATATTAATTAGAAAAACTGATATCTCGTATATAAATAGAATGATATGCTTCAATAGATAACATAATTGTTGAATTTAAAGATTCTATAATTAAATGTAATTGTGTTTAAAAATTTTTTTTGGAAGATGATGTCAGCAATTTGATCTAAGGGTGAAAAACATAGAATTGAAATACAATCAATGGTCCTGATTTCTTCATTGATGAATTAAGGGTTTTCTTTTAATAATATTTAGAGATATAACTTATTATTTAAATATTACAAAAAGTTATGGAAGTTAAATTATTGATTCACTTTATTATATTGTCTTCTGGATTTCAGTCGAGTATATCCTCGGCTCCTCGCCTCTCATTCTCTTTATCTTTGTGACTTTTATATCAAATGCTAAATAGACTAATCAAATTAATTTACAACTTGGATTCTTTTTCCAATTTATTTTCGTTTAATTATACTAAAGTTCAAGTCCGGATAGAAAACAATTTCAAGGAAAGCAACTAATTATGTTAAAACTTATTATTATTATGTATGTTAGATAATTTAATTGAAAATTTGATAGTATAATATAATACGATTATAAAAGTAAAGTATTTGTGTAATACCACATTTGTTTCAATATTTATTTGAAATTATAAAAAAGCTAGATTGACTGTAAATCATCTTTGTGTTTAGAGATAGGCATTGAATCATTGATTGATCTATAAAACATTATTTAGTCATCAAGACACTCTTTTAAGATATGTTCACTCAAACCAGCCAGACTCAATGTTCAGTCAAAAACCGGGCAGACTCTTTGAAAAACTAGGGACTGTACCAGATAGATGGCACGGTTCGATTCGACTCGGCTCGGTCTGGTCTTGGTTTGCTCTATTATATAAGTCCAATATTTTACTTTATAAAATACAATGTATTATATATACGATTAACTAAACACAATGTAACACTTTATTAATAAAGATGATCATGTTTTTGTTGTTGAAAAAAACAAAAGGAATATCTTTATTGAATTAACTTTATGCATAATGCTCGTGTTATGTTACTGTCATGTTGGAAAAGTTGTGTATCGTCTCCTAATTGTTGTTGCTCTTGAAAACGTATATATTTCTTGGAAGACAAGAGTTCTATAAAAACATAATATAGTTTTAAGGATTTCAATAAGAAGACGATGGTATATTGTCATTTTATATGGACTTAAAGGTTGAGTCATTAAGTGAAATGGCTATAGGAAAAAAAACATGCAAAATTCCTTATGGATTATCTACAAGGGCGGATCTATAATAGATCGCGGGGTATCCCGGGATACCCCTGAAAAAAATTTCGGTAGTGTAAATTTTTTAGAAAAATTTCGTTTTATGTAGTGTATCTATACATAACATTAATATATTTAGCGAGATAATAACACAAGTTGTAGTTGGTTCAGATGGTTAAGGTGTTAGAGAATGCTATTGGAGGTTGCAAGTTTAAATCTTCTTTCAAACATTTATCTTCTTTTATTTTTCAACTCTTTTTATATAGCTTTATATCTAAGTGGTAAAGTGCTAAACTTTTAATTTTGAGGTTCCAATTTCGAATCTTGGCGCTTTCATGTGTTTACTTAATTTTGTTTATCACTTTTTCTATTTGTTTTTTTTTAATTCTAAAATTGTCCAACATCGACCATAAATTAAACATAACTCCTATACATCTGTTATATAAGCAATATAAGCTTCTTAATTCTCAACCAATTAAACTTCCGAATGGATTTGGGTTTAAACCCGAAACCGAGTTTGAAAAACCGAGAAACCGAACCCATCGGTTTGGGATACCCCTTTGCTTTGACTCTGGCTCCGCCGTTGATTATCTATGCCATAAAATTTTCTTATGAACAATATTCATAATCTCCACTATATTACATGGACGAGGTTGTTTACTTTTGTTTGGTGTTATGACAGATTTAGACTGATTTGGAATTGAAATCCAGTAAATTTATTTGTTTGTTTCAAAAAGATGGAATTTATAATCCCATGATCTATCCCAAACCTCTTTGTAGGTGCACCTTGGGGGGATGCCAATGAGGATATTTACAAATAATTACACTTTTTGAACAAATACCAAACAAAGTTTATAAAAGAAACACAACCTCTTGATTTATATAAAAATATATTACAAAGTAGTTCAAAAACACAATTATTCCAAGAAACTATTAAGTTAAATTATCTTGAACGTCTTAAAGTTTAAAGTGACTAAAGTCTAAACTCTAAACTCTAAACTAATAGAAGTGTCGATTTTCAACATTGACACTATATTTTATTATTTTATACAAAATGAGAATGACTCATATAGAGTTAAGAATGTTGGACACGTTAACTCCCAACTTTATAACCTAACATAACTAAATACTAATGCTTCGGAGTCCATACAAATTTACAGCAAAAATATTAATCATTTATCTTTCCAACATGAATCGTAAACTGATAACCATTATTTCTTGGACACGGTAACAGTAAAAAGATACTTTGTTTTTCATCTCAAAACTCAAAAGCTTCGTTACACTTTATAGTTCATAATGGTGTATTGTATATAAACATCACGTGGTAAAGTTAGTGGGGCTCCTTGCTTTCTCCATTTCAAGATCTACTATTTTCTCACATTCCTCACAGTTTAATCATGATGTATAATAAACTGATATAATTTAATACGGAGTAATTAAATACCAAAGCCTCAGGTTAAACTAAATAACTGACAACTTTGAATTAACAAAACGAGAAATGTAAATTATAATTTATCAAGTCGACCTTTTAAATATTATATATATGTACGCAATCATGAAGCAAGAATCAGGATGTTGAGGAAATATATATGTTTCTTGCACCACACAACACAAAAGACAAATCCTTACATGCATTACACACCCCTAATAATATATGAAAACCAGTAAAACGCTTTTGTTTTCTGGTGTGCTAACTAATAAAAACAACAGCAATAAAACTAAAATTAAGCTAAGGAAATTAGATTACATGCTGTACAAGAAAATGCATAATTGCATAATGCATATGGCATCTATTTACAGAATGAGAAAGCAAAGCAAAGCAAAAGGGGTGGGTGGGTGACTACTGATTTGAGCATTCGGTTTTGCAAATGGGGCATAACTTCTTCATCAACAGCCACTTCTTGATACAATCCACATGATAACCATGTCCACATCTTTCCATCATTCCAATTGCATCACCATTTTTATACTCTTCCTGTTCCATTCCAACCAAACACATTTATTTATTATCACTTTTGACATTTTGTATGTATGTATTGTGAAAAGGGAAATATACACAAGTGCTTACAAGACAGATAGGACAAGAAACCTCCTCATGGCTTTGGTTTTGGTCTGAAGAAGAATAGTAAACTTTTTCCCTTAAACACTTGGACATGCTGTCCTCAGACAAACCTGTGTTAACACTCCCTATCCTTTCCTCAAGATTAAGCAGTTCCTTCAAAAAATATATATACATTAAAAAAAGAATATAAAAAGAAATTAATTAATCATACAAGTGATTTTTATGAAACCTCATAGCTCATGTTGTCGATGTCTAGCCTCAAATCTCTATACTGATCCGAGAAATTCCTGGAATTGCCATACAAGGATGCCCCCCGATCCACCATCATCAAGGTCTACACACATTCATTAATTACTAAATTTTAAATTAAACATGTTACAATTGAAAAAAGCTAGAGAAACACACCTCATGTCCAATTCTATCATGGGATTCCGTTACAGTTACATCAACAACGGAATGGAATCTCTCAACTGCTATCCTCGGCCTTCCACTCCTGTGGCTGTAATTACCCCGCCACCCATTTGGAGACCAATGCCTTGAGTTTCTAGGAGAGAAATTGTCTGGTTGGGTCCGCAGCCCATTCCCATTTGTTGAAGATGATGCATGTCCATAGTGGGAGTGGGAGTACCTGGAACCACTACTATATGAAGAGTGAATTCTGCGAGAATGGTTGTTGGCATGAACATGAAGATTTTGTCTGCTGCTGCTGAAAACTGGATCACCAGAACTTCCTCCAACATGAAACTGATTCATCTCATGTCTCATGTCTACATTTTCATCAAAGAATTTATCAAAATTTTAATAATGCCATCACAAGTTATTATTACTTGATAAGAAATAGTTGAATTTTACCTCGTATGTGGGAGGGAGCAGGATAATGAGGAACATGGGGGGCTGTGGAGGAGTAGTTTGGTGGTGGTGGTGGTGGTGGTGGTGGTGGTGGATGTGGTACTGGTGCCGATCGATAAAAATGGTTTGGGACATGACTTCTAGATGGTTCTGATTCCATGTCATCATGTCTATATCTACGTCTCACGCTCCTAGATGAATCTTGACCATCGATTGTGAGATTGCCCCTGTATTGATCTAGGGTTGGTTTTTCTATTGGCATCTGAGAAGCAGAAGAAGAACTGGATGAACTTCCTACAGTGTAGAGACTGTTTAAGCTACCTGACCTTTTTCTTTTGAGTGGCCCTCCTCCTCCTCCTACTCCATTGGGTGTTGGGTGGTGGTGGTGGTTCAACGGACCAGATTCCATATCATGTGTGTTTGGAAGATGATTATAATTAGTATAATGAGCGTGGTGTCCGCCAGTGATTGATGGATGCGGAAAAGGTGGCACAAAGGGCGGCTGTACTTCCATGCTAATGTTTGATGAAGGAGGAGGAGGATATTCGTTTGCTCTGCTGCTGCCTCCTTCCAAATTTCTGTGACCTCTTGACATATGATTCATCTGATTCTGACCAAGAAAAGGACCGTTTTCTGCCCTTCCTGCTAAAGGAGAGGATTACCTCAATATTCCTTACAATTTGAATATACTAATTTAAAAAAAAAAAAATTACCTGTAGGAAAGTAAGAGTGTTCCACTGGCGTATGGTTGTTATCCTGTTGGTCAACTCCAAATCTTGTAAACGAGTTGGACAAGTGTCTATGCCTCATCTTTTTTGACAGATAACTTTACTTCACCTTTTGCTACAAGGTACCTTTTATGCCAACCTGTACAGATAGATAGCTTCAAGTTTCAAAACTTTGCATTGAATAAGCAACTACCATTGCAAAATTCTTAAAAAACTACCGTTCGCAACAGCAAACACAGAGACAATTCATTTGTTATCAGATTACAATTTTAAAATGCTATCATCATTTAAATTCTCACATACCTGTAGTTAGTAGTTACAGATTATGCTGACAAGATCATGCTACAACATTCAACCTACCAATTATTTAGTGTAACCTTTTCCAAGAGCATCTATATTAACCAAATCCAGAAAGTCACTGCTTTTAAATGGTATTGTTAACTGCTACAGGGAGTAGTTTGCTAAATTATAATGAAATTCAGTTTGGAATGGATTAGAAGCTCAACAAATGTGAGAATGAACCCAGAAAAGATGGAAAACAAACAAGAATTGCTCCTCCATTGATTGAATTGTTAACTTGGGGTGACAACAAGGATAATTTTTTTGGTCTCAGGAAGGCCATTGGTATGAGTAGAAGAGACAGCCTATTTGCAAAATGCAAGATGCTTAGACAAGGAGTCTTATGGTCTGTTTGGTACAATGGAATGGAATGAATCATTCAAACATGTTTTTTTATCAATAAATATAAACCTAAGTAGTGTAAGATTGTTAAACAAAGAAAAATAATAAACTTTAATTAAAGAAAAAATACATGGTTAAATAATTTTTATTTGGTTCAAAATACATGTCATATACTTTACAAGTAATTTAAAAAGAATTACATGTGATCTAAAAAAATAAAAAATAAAAAAATTAGATACAATGAAAACTTGAAATATAACTATAAATAAAAAATATTTAATTGAAGTTTTGAAAATTTTAAAAAGATTAATACTATTGAAAACTATATGAATAAAAGTAATTTATATTTATAATTATATATATATATATATATATATTAATATATATATATATGTATCATTCCATTCCAAGAAAGAATGAAAGAAAAAACACTCCTCCCCCATGGAATGAAAATAAGCCTCTAGGAGAAGGAATGGCATTCTCCATTCCATTCCTTATGGCAACCAAACAAAGATTTTTTCCATTCCGCCATAATGCTCCATTCCAATACCTCTTCAATTACTGCATACCAAACGCTACCTTAGTGCACCATGTTGGCCACATCATTGCAACAAGAAACCTCAACACCTTTGAAGACAAGTGATGTACACAACAAATGCTATATATATCTTCAAAGTCCAACATTTAACAGAGCAGCATTCCAGCTTGTGAGTTCCTATTTCTGTTTTAAATTGGAAATTTCTCACCGACTAAAAGTAACAAATTTCTAAATGGCTCAAACTAAAATATGCTTAATGAAGTTAAACCATACCAAAAAGACCTATCGAAGGCCCAGGCCCACTACACGTAAAACTTCAAAAGACATACCTCCCAATCCCATAGCCTATCCAGCTTTCCCACACATATCTTATTCAGACAAGATAGGGTCAAAAGGTACCTCATAAATTTCTCCCTGGCAATTTCACCTATATAATTCAATCCTGCACTGCACAAAAAAGGTTATCCTGGATAAAAGTAACTACATAAGGGCCTCATAATCGCAATAGATCATAGTGTTTGAAAAAATTTTAAGGGCCACATACAAATATACTACTAATTAAAACAAACAAAACTTACAAGGAGGCGGTGTCCAAAATTCGCAAGATCAATGGTAACTTAGTGAAGAGAGAGAGAGAGAGAGAGAGAGAGAGAGAGAGAGAAGTTGGAGGATGGATCAACTGATGGAATTGTATTACTACATTCTTATTTTGGGAAGGGCACAGAGATTAAAACATGATCACCCTAATTTGCAGGAAGCGTGATTGGTCTCTGGATATGCTAAAACAAGTTCATCATTTAATAATATGGGAATAAACCAAAGACCTACAACCACCAATGAAGAAACTCTACCTATTGTAGCAGCAAATCATTAAACCAGGAAATATGCAGCTCCACAGGAATGCGTGCAGATACTACAAGGTTTTGTGATAATTAGAAGAGCTACATACATGAATGAAATCATGTGTCTATATCAGAGCCCCTGAAGATGTAGAAACTGCAGCAAGAGAGCAGAAAAACAGAGCCTACATGGACGAAAATATGTGTCTCTGATTTGACAAAGAGGGTTTTGATTCATAGTGCTCTGACCATAGACCTACTACATGAAAGCAAGTTGCAAGCCTATATGCATAAGGAACAACAAGGATACTACATGCAAGGGGATTAAAGTGTAGCAGGAGGTTAGAATGTTTTTGCATGAAAAGTAAATAATTTTTAGCATCGGTAAAACAATGGATTTGGGGAGAAGCTTATATAGTTCTTAAGGTCCTAATACATTCCATATGGAAATCTGGAACTGATGCAGTCAAAGATAAGCATGCATAAAAGCAAATATATCTTTTCAAGGGGAGGGGCAGTGTTTGTGAACTTTTGAAGTGAATATGATATATACTTATTAGTTATTACTTGTCTATAAATAAAGTCATAATACAAGCATAACTTCTAGTAGGTAGTTTAATATTTGACTTGAATTTAAATTCATAGCTATTCAGTAGGAAAATCTGCAATCCCTTTTCCATTTTTCATTGGCTAGGGAAATATTAACTGTGTGGTCGCAGCTTAAGAACAGCAGTGACATCATAGACATACTAAAAGAAGCATAATTTATCAATGATATAAATATAAGCTCATAACTATTATGGAACAGATGATCTCTAATTATCTTTTCTCAAATTCTTTTTCCTTTCTGCTCATTTTTCCTCTATGCTTTCTCAAACAGAATACTGATTGTCTTTTGAAACACTTGTGGGGGTAATATGCCCCTTATAATAAGAAATATAGCAAATAAAACAAACATCTGATAAATGAATGTAGTGGATCAGACACAATAAAGATAATATAAGGATCTCCAACTTTGATTAGGTACCAGAGCAGCTACAATTACATGCATCACTATGCACAGTTCAGTATGATGTTTTAAGGTTTCCCATGTGACAGACAACTAGATGGCATGGAATGTGATAACTTGTTCAAATTACATTGACACTAAGCACTATTGGACACAGCCTAAATTTTTTGACTTTAGTACGTACACTCCTATCCACCATGATCTGGGAAATAAAAGTCCACTCAACTTTCAGGGAGCTTAAAGTTCACATCTTACAGATGTGACCCAATTACAATTTCCATCTTCTTGTCCATACTTATACTTTAGAATATACATTCGGTTACCAAAACTAAATAATAATGAAAAGCTTCTCTTTGACCACAGAACAGCATAACATCTCTCCAACATATAGCAACCTGTACTATCATGATCCAATCTTCATCTAGAATAGGGATGAGCAATAGGATATGATGCGCCCTTCAACCAACTTCCAACAATGGGGTTCATATAAGTGAAAGTAAACCTTTTCCTATAAACATCTCTTCTGTATAACCTGAGCAGATTTTAGTACTTTCAGTTTTTTACATGGTAAGTCTGTTTCAACATGTACAATGGAAGGTAAAGTCCCTTGCTGCAAAAAAACAATATTGCACACTCTGGTGGTGTGGGTTAGAAGATAATGTGCATAAAGCAATTAATAGCTTATTCTCTGTTTAAAAAATAAGACTTTCTATCTTAGCTCACCTTTTCTTTTAGTTTCTATGAGAGAGCCCACTTATATACACCTATAAGCTAGGAAGAAAGGAATGGGTGCGGATGCCGGATGCGCTAGATATCATGTTACATGGATTTGCCAACTAAAATTTACTATAATCGGGTGAGGCTCAAGAAAGTATCTACATATATAGACAACTTCAGGATCCTACAAGAAAATAAACAAAATGATTTGTGTTCTTTGAGAAAACTGAACAAGAAAAATGTACAACTAAACCTAATAGATAAGACAAGGATGTATGATAGTACAAACTAGAAAACAAAACATCAAGACTCTAGTTATTAGTTAGACTCAAGGGTGTATGGTTTATGTTTTTTTTACAATATTTACATAAGATATGCCTATATTTTAGGTGTTTCTTTTTCTTTCTAATCCTGTAGAATTCAAAGCCTTGAAACAAGAACCTAATACGGAAAAAAGTAAGACGAACCTGTAAAAAACAAGTCAAGCCACATCCCACCTGCACCCAAGACACACCCATGTAGTTGTTGTCTACTTATCAATTGGGTGTGCACCTGATGCATATCTGATTGCACTCAAGCCAACCCACACCCAATTTGCACCCAATGTCACAGTTTGGACATAACAGCCTAACTCAAAAATTAGTGTATCTTAATTTATAAGCTTTATCATGCTTATACTGGATGTTAGCTTGAAGCTTAGAAGGTCAAGAAAATCAAATCAACTATGACCATAAAGAAATGAAACCACCAAAGTATGATTGATCTATTTATATTCATCGTAATCGTCCACCAAAATGTAGCACTCACACTGATAAAATAATAAATCAAATCCTAAAAAAAAAATAAAAAGCCTAAAGTCCTTCACAGATGAAAATCGAAAAGGAGAACTCAGAAACAGAAACGAGAGAAAAGAAAAATGGTGATCAACCAGCCTCTCTATTTCCTTAATATTTTGTATCCATAACACGCAGATCCAAAAGTTTTAACAAGCGTATTTGAGGAAATTATATGTAGTATTCTCCACATAACATAAAAATACACAAATAACATATGTATACGCCTATGTGTGTATAATCCATTAATACTTACAACACAAAACCCCAAATAAAACTCGATTCAGGACCAGTTAGACGCATTTTTTTTTTGTTTATTTGTTTATTTAAGAGGATCTACTTGTTCGTAGGTAAAATAGGATTTCATCGGAACATCGGATTTCAACCGACTAAATGAACATACATAGATAGAAAACAAAAAGCAACAGAAAAACCAAAACGAGAACAAAATGATCGGGAAAGAGATCGATGATGGTAGCGATGAGGATCGTACCGCAGAAAAAGCGTGAAGTGCCGGCGGTCAAAAGATCGACGTCGGCGATTTGATAGAGAATTTACAGGGTTTTCTTTTTAAGTAATCAATAATAAGCGTTGGCGTATGGAATTGTGTTGTTGATAGAGAGTTCGGTGGTTACCCTTTATATATAACGAATTGTTCCTGCCAAACTTGATCGGGCAAATGTCATATTAGCCCATCAAACTTTTCGTGTTTGTTTTAAAAAGTCCCCAAACTTATTTTTTTTGCACATTAAAGAAATATACTTTCATTTTACCGTTTAATTACATCCCTTTACCGATTGTAAAAGGTTCATCCCCTGTTTTCATGACATGGACACCACCGTGGAATATTACTGTTGAAATCTTGGTCCCCAAGAATTGTCAAGTCATTGCTAATGGTCCCCTTATAAACCGTCTTCCCCTAAATCCGTCTTCCCCACCACTTTGTTACCCTAATCCGTAACATTCACATCATCGACTTCGCTTTTTTTCCCACGTATAAATCAAGAAGATGGCCTCAGAACAAAGCTTCTCCTATGGTGGTTTCAGAGCTTCGGAACTACACTTACCAACTGATTACGAACTTCATGCCATGGAAACCCAATTGCAGATTGAGGAAATGCGAGATGAGATGCGTCAACAGCTTGGCGAGTTTAGGGAGGAGATACGCAACTTGAAAAGGAAAGTGACAATGATGGGTGTTGTTGGAGTTGCAGTGATGTCGTTGATTGGGGTTCGTGTTTGCGTCGAATGCAGTGGATGGGGATTTTGGTGGGTGTAGTTTAGTTCGTAGGTAGCACGATGGCGATTAGTCTCTTTTGGGTTATCAGGGTTGTCGAAGGTTGTGTCTTTTTGTCTAATTTCGTCATCTGCTAGTATATATGTATGTATTAGGTTATGTGTTGTTGGTTGTTTTGAACAATGGTGCCCATTGAGGCTGTAATGGTGTTTAGAACCAAATTTTTGGGGGGGTTTTGTTAAGACAATAACCTCAGTTGTAATGGATGAATGAAATGAAATGTAGTTCCTATTTTAACCTTTGTTTTGCTTTGCATATGATGTTATGGTTTGTAATGAAATGTACCAAATGTGAAGTTCCCATTATAACCTTATGTGGAAGTACATTGTTATAATTCAAGTCCATTGTTATATGGAATTGCATTGGAAGTACAATTATAAAAAAAAGATTCATGTTATGTTTTAAACTAAAGAAACTAACATTCATGTTACAAACAGAAAACAAACATCCATACATTCATTAATATCATAACTTGGTGTTTTAAAGACACGTTAATATTCATGTTACAAACAGAAAACAAACATCCATACATCCATAACTAACATACTCCAAAAACATCTTTAATCCAAGTCCATTGGTTTGGTTGATGTATCACCTTCACCGTTTTTGCCTGCAACCTTTTTTGCCAACTTTTTCTTTAGTATCCTCTCTGACTTTTTTCTTAATTTCAGTGTATCTACTTTTTTACCATTCTTCTTAGTCACACCACTTGTTGACTCACATTCACCTTCTCCCATTTTGAAACCAATTCCACTTCTAGTATCACCTTCACCCTTTCCCTTCCCATTTTGCCCTTGACCCTTCCTTTTCTTTAATGCACTAGATTCACCTTCACCTTCAGCCTTCCTCTTTTTCACCTGACTTTTTTGGGGCTTTGACACTGCATCACAGGTTGACTTATTGTGGCCTGATTTCTTACAAACACCACAGAACATCTTTTTGCCTGCCTTGGATACTCTGTGTGATCCAGTAACCTCAGTACTGTCCCTCTTTCTCTTAATAGTAGGTCTCCCTGGCATCTTCCTTTTCAATGGTGGCAAAGGTGGTATGTACTCTATTGGGGGCCACATTGCACTCCCATTCATGCTTCCAATTGTGTACTTGTATGTGTTTATATATATGCAAGCACGATATAAAGGATCAACAAATGCCTCTACATCTCTATTTACATAACTATGCTGCCACTGAGTGTACATAACCATACCCATTCATTTGCCAAATCCTACAAGAACATGTTTTCTTTTCCAGATCAACTCCATAAGACTCTCCTAAGTTTCTTGTTTCAAATGTATTCAGGCCACTAGGAAGCACTTGCCAGTACCTACAAATAATCAAAGTTAACAAGGGTAATTAAAGTACCTTGACTGGATATTCAATTCAATTATGGTGAATAATATAGTACCTTTGTTGGATCTTTAATTCATTTATGGCAAGCCTTATGTTTGGACATACATCAAGATGTCCCCATCCACTTCCTTTCTGCCTCAAACTACACATCCTCTGCATCACATATAGTCTAATATCCTCCAACATTGTAATAACTGGCTTCTTCCTAGCCTCCAATATAACATTGTTAAAGCTTTTAGACAACCCATTCTCAACTGCATCACACCCCCTTCCAAATTGAAAAAATGCTCTTGACCATGATTTTGGATTCCTTCCAATCAGATGCACATAAGCAGCAAGGCTAATCAGTTGAATCTCTTTCATTGCGGAATTGAAAAGAGGTTCAGTTGAGGCCTTGCAAGCCTTCCAAAATAGTTTCTCAAACTGAGCCCCAGGGAATTTCTTTTTGAAATTGGAAAGAACATGCCTGGCACATTGCCTATGTTCTATCTCTGGAAATAAATCTTTCACAGCTTCAATTATCCCCTGCATTTATATCATCATAATATTCAGAATTATATCACATTTGAAAGAAATTAGGTATGACATTATAAAGTAGAAACATACCTTATGTTGATCTGACATCAATGTCCTACCAAAACCAACTTCAAGATGCAGATCTTCTTGCAAGTTTTCTAAGAACCATTTCCAGTTGTCTTTATTTTCAACACAAACTACAGCCCAAGCTATTAGGTATATATGATTGTTAACATCCCTACCAACAGCACATAATAACTAACCAGTACACATTCCTTATAGAAAACACCCATCTAAGTTTATTATCCCTCTACAGCCACTTCTCCAACCCTTCTTTAGTGCATGAAAACATATATATATCCTGCTAAAGTAAGTTTTCCCATCTGACATAGAGTTCACAGACAACTTGATTGTTGACCCTGGATTAGACCTTTTTATTTCTTCACCATAGGACCACAACTTTGCATAATTTTCCACTATGGTACCTTCAACAAGAGATATTGCATGTTGCTTATCTCTCATACATTGTCCCATACTAACCTCTGCCAAATTTATTCTTTACTTCCTCTTTTAACATCCTAACATTGAATTTCTGATTTTCAAGCACTTCCCAGGTGAAATGACTACCAATCCATCTGTAATTAACAATTGACCCTAATTTAAAATTTCTTGCACAATTGTGGTCAATGATAAGGGACTTGATTTGGAAAGACTGCTCCTCACTCATCCATGATGCCCAAAGCCTAAATGTGCATTGACCATTACTACACTTAACCAATAACCTTTTACTGTCGTTTTTTTTCAAAGTACAACTGATATCCATTTGCTACAACATAATTACAAATCATAAATTTTAATTGTTTAGGGTTGGTGAACCTCATACCTAGAATTGGCAACTGCTTCTTCCAAGGTATGTCTTCATTAAACATCGGTTTTCCTTTCACATCTGGGACATTATCATCTTCATCATCTTTTGGATCACCTTTTGTGGCCTCCTCATTTCCATTACCCTGACTTACTCCTTCATAGATTATTCCTTCCATGTTGATTTCTTGTGGACTCTTAATTTCAGTTAGGTCAATACCTTCTTCCCCTTCGATTGACATGTTTGACTTGACAGAACAATTATCCTCATTTTCATTTTCATTTGCCTTCGTTACATGCACTGTAGTACCAAAATGGTCCATGTAAACAGAAACTTGTACTCCACATTGATAAGCAATGTCTATAAATTCTTGATATTGACGTTCATTCGAAATCAAGGTTAAACCTTCTGGGATTTGTAAATCGGGTTGACAATAATAAACTTTCTCACACTTCTCTTGTGTGAATCGTTCAAGAAAACCCACAAACTCATTAAATGACATACCAGCAAAATCGACGTTCTCGAAGACATGATGAACACCATCAGAATAGCAAAAAGGTTTGTTGATGAACACACCTTGGAAATGAACTTTGATTGACAGGAATATAGCCATCGATCTTCAGTTACTATGGTGGGACGACGAGGGTTTTCTTCAATGACGAGGGGTTTCTTCAATGAGGGGGAGGGGATTGTATAACGCACACGGTTTACTTTATAACAACTAATATAAGTACAACACATGTGGCTATTTCATTAAATGACGTGTCACCGACATTTTCCCTCGTGGCATGTATATTACCTATCAACCCGGTAGAAGGTAACATAAAGGTATTTTAAAACAGAGAAATGAAAGTATATTTCTTTAATGTGCAAAAAAAAAAGTTTGGGAACCTTTTAAAACAAACACGAAAAGTTTGATGGGCTAATATGACATTTGCCCAACTTGATTTCAAGATTCATTTCGGTACGATCAAACTCAAATTCGGATTCGGATCCGATCCATTCCGTATGAAATGTTGGCTTGTATTCTCTAAAGGTATTAAAGTTCGTAATATTGAAATATTGTTTTTTCGTGCTAGAATGATACTATATGATAAGTTATCTCAGTTCTTTAATTTTCGTATTTAGTTATTATATGATATGATAAACTCATATAAAATTATATAATGGTTTTTATTTGGTGTAAATTCCAATAATATAAAATAATAAAATATAACTAGATGGGTATCCTTTGCTTCGCAAGGGCAGAATGTGTTTGTGAACTATTTGTGTTGTGCATGTGGAATAAGTTGTGTTTAGAAATAGACACGTTACACATGCATTTCATTATATTAATCAAGCCATGAGGGGTTAGAGTAGGATACTCAAAAGAATTCATTACATTAGGTTATGAAAAAAAGAAACCAAAAGACTGCCAATTAATAAAAGTAATAGAGAAGGTATGAATAATAAATTCAACTGTTATAACATTGTAATAACAAACTACTTTTCTTAAGTAGATACCAACTTCCATATCACTAAATTAATAAAACTATCTGATAAGGATTAACAAATTAGGGATGAAGCGATGTAACAGTGAATGAGACAATAACAATGGAGGAAGGAATGTCTTGATAACCAAATGCAAAAAAAAAGAACATAACCAGGGAAAACGTCCCTCTCATACACACACACAAGAGTGTGGAGCCAGCACAATCATGCACACAAAATAACAGAATGACCATTAACAAAATCTCCCTGCTCTATTTATTCTTACATTCTCACTCTTTCAACTAATCAGCCACTTTTCTCACTTGACCCTTTTACCCTTGTGGAATATACTTTCCAGATCCTTGGTTTATTAACATCGTGGCTACCTAAGTATGAATTTGCATCACTATCTTATTTATTTTTATTTATTTTTGCTTCATTTGGAAAAAAAGAAGATTCACTGATCCTGCCACCTGTGGATAGAGAAAGAGAGAGTAAGGTAAATGCAAATATAGCAATGTACTTCAACTTATTTTTGTATTACTTCCATTCAATTATATTACAAAACTGTACTTTGAATTTCAGAATATCTACCAGTACTTTGAAAAAATTGATTTGGGAATAAAAAAAAAACACAATTGTCTTTCACCAACTTGTTGAACCTCTTCAACCACAACTTTTGTTGGAAATAATACATCAGGAAAATTGTGAAAAACTTATATTTTTTTCATTTTAGAAAAGTAATTTAAAACTTTCTAACATATTATCATGTTCCTCTATATATTCACAAACTATCAAGCAGTTGATATGGGTTCTGCTTCTGGAATTCCAGGATATAGGCATAAACAAAAAAAGAACCCACAATCGTGATTACTCCAAAGAAGAAACCAACTGTAAATAATACAAATAAGTTGCTATTTTTATAATGTGAACTTTTCGCTAATGAAAGTTAAAAAAATGCTTCAATATTTAGAATAGTGTGCAGGGGCAATATGGTCCTAAAACTATAAAAAAAATGATTTTATTAATATAAAAAGTGTGTAGGGGCAATATGATCCTAAAAATGCAAAAAGTTGCTTTTTTTAATATTCCTTATGCAAAAATATCAAACCCATTGCCCACAAAAAACCAAAATAAAAAAATAAAAATTACAAAAATAAAACATACCTGTATAAATCTTAGGGCTTGCTGATTTCAAACCTTCACATAATTCTTTTGGCCTTTATTTGCAGATTTCTTTATATCAAAGTTTACGTACCATACCTAAATCCACAAACAAAAAATCAACTAACAAAATTAGAAATTTAGATGTCAATATGAACTTTCACGTTGAATTGGTCCAAAAGTATCACTAATTCAACAAACTGTGAGATTGTGCTCTCATTAGATGTAGCCATGTCATCAATTCACAATTCTATTTTTGTTGTGCATGGGAATGAGTTTAATTTTAAAAGTATCCTGTCACATTTTGTTGCAGTGGTATTTTATTTGACCGTATGTCTTAGCTTTGCCTTTTCTTCTGTTTGGCTTAGTGAACATTAGTAAATGTTGAAGATAAAATGATGTATTACCTCAAACTGTTGTCCTTCATGATAAACATCATCTTGTAATGCGACTTTTGGTTTTGTCTGATATTTGGAAAAAGCATCATAGAGCAAGCACCTAGACCATTAAACATTAAGTCCTTATTTCTCAACTCCATTAAAACTTCAAAAAATAGAATGCTAGTAAGCTTTTATAATAGAAATAAAATTTATAAAAATAGAATAAAAAAAACTAACATTTTCTTCATCATCAATAATTTTCTCCTCGGTTTTTGTTTTTCCTCTACTTCTTCTTCATCTGGTTCTGAGTAAGGATTCACAAACGCTGATACACTACCTATCTTGATTCTTATACAATGCGGATCACCAACTGATGCTACAGTTACAATGAATCCTTCAATAATTACAAAGGTGACAGTTTTTCCTGACAGTTGACCTGCAATTATTCATCACCATATTTAAGCAACATTCTACATATGAACAGTGTTCATATTCAGATGGAATTGAAGAAGAAAGATGTGCACACCTTTTTCTTGGAAATCTTTATCTGTTTTTATAAACCCAGCTACCAGAGCCCTAGCCAATGCTGGAATCCATTCTTCTCGGTTAAGGTCTGCTGGAATAGCACTTAAGACATTGTTTAAAAGATTATCCTTGGTATATATTGCTGCTGCAGCCCCATTATGGCCATCAAGTATCTGCAAATACAGGTTCTGTAAGATCACCATCACAATACTCACTTACTGATAACATATCTCTAAAACCATCACTTGCTTCAAAATCCTTCTCAATTCAGATGAAATCACCAAATTAGGAGATTCTAGTGAATTACAGAAGATAAGCTACTCAAAATCTCATTAGAGAAAGCTTAGAGAGAGATAACGTACCCAAAAAACAGAATAAGTAGTAACACCATCTCCCAATACGTGTTCGTATTCGCTGTCAGTAGATAAAACATACCTTTGTACTAACTCAAATGATTTGAGGTAACGTTCATTCCCTGGATTATGAAATACAAATACATTCCACAAGACATTCAAATTCATTGGACACATGCATATCAATTTGTTTGATGTTAAGTATAGATAAAAGAAATCACAAGATAATATCTTTATGAGGAATATCATAATCAATATTGGACAAATACTATGGTCAAACCGGATGATAGATAATCAGAACAATGTTCTTCTCATTACAGACCGAACCCGACAAAATCATCAGGTGAGAAAATCTGACGGAGTCTAACCTATAGTCGTGAACCTTCTGAAAATGAAGAATTTCCTGCAACCGAAATACGATAAATGAAATCAAATGATAAAAAGGATGAGAAAAACCTACTTAACTGATTCCTGTTGGCATCCAGGGCACTAAAACAACAAAATTCACCCTAATAGAAAAGGGAAAGAATCGATTTGCAGACTGAAAAATAAAGAGAAATGGTAAACAACCTGAAACGAAATAGGAATAGTCGATTTCATGTAGAAGTTGTGGAATTCGATAATTGAAGCTAAATAACAACTTAAATGCATATTTAAGAACCGTAATCATAAAAGAAAGCAAAAACTCAAAAATGCAAATTAGGTGATACGTAATTACTCCCAAAATTATCAGTTGCAAAAAAAAAAACACACATCTCAGTAATCCCGCAAGACCGATGTACGCACCTTTTTTTTACTAATCCGGACATGTGACCTTCTGAGACAACAATGCTTGAAACAACAAACTAAGAAGGGGAAAAAATCAGTAAATATGACTTTGTGGTTAGGTCATGTGCGAATCAACCAAAAACCAATCCACAAAACCCATATGAAAATTAGGGTTTTAATAGACGGAAAGGAACAACAAAAGAAGCAGACTGGGTGAATAGTGGGTGAGGCGGTGTTGATCGCAGTCATCATCGTTCCCTTTCTGTTACTCTTTGGAGTCGATTGGTAGATAAGAAAAAAAGGAGGGTGATTAACCTGAGAGGGAGAGGAAGCAGTGGCTGTGAAGTGGCTGTCAGGTAGAATGAGTCGGTGGAGTAGAACAGGTACGCGTTGCTTCCTAAACCTACCGATGAAGGTTGAGATTAGAGCCGGCAATCGCTTCGAGGAACGGTGAGTGATGTTGATGTATTGGCGACGGAGGGTGTTGGTGATGTATCAGTGGGTGTCATCTCGTAGTTATCTGCTTTTGAGGGAAATCAATTAAGGAAACCGGTGGATCGGAATGGACTGGAAAGCAAGACGCATGTGTAAAACACCTATTGACCTACACGTGTGGGCACCGATCGGAGGCAGAGAAGCACCATCGAGAAAGAAAGAGATATAAGGAATAAAGTTTTGTTAATGAATTACAAAGCGGTGAAGATAACACATCTGAATGGATTGGAATGGAGGGGTGACGCGTGTTGAAATTGAGGCGGTGGTAGGTGGTGATGGATATGAGGGGAAAACGTATGTGAGAGACATGTGTCGAAAAAACTTATAGAAAACATAAGACAAACACGTGGACAGGAAGTAATTAGAAATTGTCAAAAACGGCCCAAAAGACAAATAAAGCTAAAAAATCAAAGACGGGCATAAACAAAGGGCTATTTCTGCCAAAAAGCAGAGAAGTTCACTGTAGCTAAGGTAGGACAATTTTAATATATATATATATATATATATATATATATTAATTGTCTCGTACACACGAAATACTAGTATGAACGAGAGTAATGGTTGTTTTCTTTGAAATACATATATACAATCTCTTTTTAAACATATTGAAATTTCCGGATCAAATATCATGTTTGATACGAAGATGTTAATATGTTTGAGACGAGATTGTCTATATGTATCTCGAATGAAACGAATATCATTATCATTCATATTAATATTTTGTATGTACAAGTCGATTATGTTTTATTATTTATATTATTGGAATCGACACCTAACAAAAATCATGTTGTAATTTTATGTGAGGTTATCACATCATATAATAACACATTATTTATATTATTTGGTTTTTGAGAACCTTTGAGTTTTCAAATGATCATCCCCCCTGTCTCTCGCTCTCTCTCTTCTCTCTATCTCTATCTCTCTCTCTCTCTCTCTCTCTCTCTCTCTCTCTCTCTCTCTCTCTCTCCTCTCTATATATATATATATATATATATATATATATATATATATATATATATATATAGAGAGAGAGAGAGAGAGAGAGAGAGATAGCGAGAGCGAGAGACGGGGGGATGATCCTTTGAAAACTCAAAGTTTCCCGAGAACCCGAGAACTAAAGGTGGAGCGTTGGATCAATTATTTGTATAGCTTAGTTGACTAGTACATTTAGTGGCATATCAAGTTAATTAAAAGTAATCATGGGGGTAAACTCGGTAGAAGAATCTTCTATCCTAAAGATGAGGCAAACCGCAGATCACTCCCCCAAAATCATTCGTCGTCCTCCCCAACCCGCTTTTCTCTCACCTTGCTCGGTAATCGTTCGCCAAAATCGAGCATCGTCATCCGGGATCTATGGCTTCTTTTGTGTATATGCATTCTCTAATCTCCAAGTCACAAACGTTTAATCCACGAATCAACAGATCTAGATCATGTTCCTCGTAACGTCTCAATCGTATTCCTTATCCATTTGAAATTGAATCCATGATCTATTTTATTTGCTCTCTCTTCCTTGTATATCCTCGGCTCCTTTGTACTACTTTTTCTGCAATTCTTGATGGAGATGAGCTTCAAAAGGTAACTCTTCTATCAGATCCTGAAGAACAACCCTAACCCCTAGTTCTCGAGTTTAAACAAAGAAAATAAAAGAAGAGAAAAGAAAGTAAGGAGAGAAAAGAAGATAAAGAAGATGGAAAGATTTTTTTCTGTTTTGTTCTCGAGTTTGAGAGAAATGGAATGAAAGTTAATCATTTTGTTCTTTCTTTCGAAATCCTTCCAAGTCAGAAGGAAAGCTAGGAGGGAAAGTGATCCTTCCATTTCCCTTCACTTCCTTCCATTTCCTTCCTTTAATGAAACTCAGGAACACCAATTTCTTTTACTTTCTTCTCATGTCCACTCACTTCCCTTCTTTTCTCTCGATAAGTTGAACTCGGAAACGGGGTGTAAAGGTAACCCTTCACTCTTACTAAATTTATGATTCGTAAGCCTCATACGCAATAACAAAACTTTTGGTACAAATAAGATTTTAATATTACTTAAGTTTTCACCGCTGGTATACACTTTAATTGAGGTCTAAAGCTTGATGGAGCATAGAACTTTTTGCTTTTATTTTTTATTTGATAGCTTAAGAATTTGGCATATAGATCAATCACCGTTGCATGTTCGGGCTACGAGGAATTCCAAACAATATCTTCGTATTAAATTTCGCTAATCTAGTTCTGATTGAATGCATAACATGAGACGAATTGTTAAATGATTAAATTAGTTGATATTTGGTGTTTACATGTTTGGTATTGCATTATATAGCAAGCACGAAGAATGATATTGCTCTTAATTCGTTATCTGATGTATCTATTAATCTAGTCCTTTCATGTTCTCATTTATTCCAATCATTAAATGCATTACCTTTTTTTTTTATACTTAACTTCGAGTTTTAGGATCGGTGTGATTCCACTTGTTTATTTTAATGGTTCAAACATTGAATTCATACCAACCATTTTTTTTTTTGCAACATGATGACGTGATAAAAGTGTTCCATGATGCCATTTTGCTTTATTATCTATGCATTATTTTCGGACCCCTAGCTTCATTCCTAAACTATTTGTTTTTTCTCACTTCATTTTCTTGTGGAAAAAATGTCGACTTTTCTATAAATCATGCATGAACTTCTATGAGTTCCTGCTAAATATACAAATTCCATTTGAGCCCTTCAGGTATTCATTAGAAACACCGGTTTCTAACACATAACACATGGAAAATACTCTTGAGTTGATGGAAAGAAGTCATCATGTCCCACAAAAACAATTGTGGTTGTTTTTGTTGTTTGTTTAATTGGTGTATGGATGTTCATGTGAACATCTGTTGCCCATGGTCAAAACCTAGTCTTGCTTGAGTTTGTGTGAATTGGCATAATATTTTAGTAATTAAATGGAAACAAGAATGTAAGTTTGTAGTGATTAACATGTAAATCACAACTGAATTACATATAAATTACATGTGATTCACATGTACATCACAAGTGAATCACATATGAATTACATGTGATTCACATATGAATCACATGTAATTCATATGTGATTCATTTGTGATTTACATGTGAATCACATGTAATTCTTATGTGATTCACTTAAGATTTACATGTAAATTACGCCTATATGCACAAATGCATTTTGTGTGAGTGTTCTTCGTTAATTATTTTTTAAAATTTTCTTATGAATTTCACATTTGAATCTTAAAAGATACAATTACATGTGAATATCACATTATATAATCACATGTGAATTACATAAGAATGACGTCTATATGCACACATACATTTTGTGTGAGTGTTCTTCGTTCATTATTTTTTTAATTTTTTTTTGTGAATTTCACATTTGAATCTTAAAAGATACAATTAAATGTGAATATCACATTATATAATCACATGTGAATCTTACATGATATGTAACACCTAGTTCCTGGTATGTATTTAATTAAAGATTAATTCGCTTTTGTATAGAAACTCGAAGAGTTTGAGGCCCCAAACTCGTCGAGTAGGAATGGAGTTAGATGCGGGTTGTAAAGTCTACTCGACGAGTTGAGAGCTTCAACTCGACGAGTAGGATTGACAGAGTGAAACCCTAATTTTCAGGGTTTTGCACCCTATTTAAACACCTTAACCTCCAAAGGCTGGCCTCATTTACAAACAGGGGCCAGACATAAAACACCGGAGGACAGGACCATTTTGACATATAACACTTCTGAAATCCAACAACCCTTTGCGGCTCTTTAAACCAGATTCCCCGTACCGCGAGTGGTTAAAAAGATATTATAACGACATGTCACAACTAGCATTTTAGCTAGGAAATTCTATTCTCGTGTAATCATTCAACTATTGTAAAACATATACTCTAAATAAAGATCACTAAGTGCCCATTTAAATACATCTCTAATGATCAATTAAGGGTTGAAAGCCCTAGAGATCCATGTTTAAGTCCATTGTGGACTAGGATTTCCTTATTGGGCCTAATGGACCAATGAGCTTCCAATTTGACTATATTGGGCTTAGAAACCCTATTTGGATTCTAAATGGACCCAATTCATAAATCTATAACATTTTGGACCATTTGGGCCTAGAATGATTCATTCTAACCCTAATGGGCCTTATTGGGCCATAACTAATCCAATTAACCCTAATAAGCCATAAATCCATTCTTTTATGTCAAATTGGGCCGTGAATACACTTAAGGACCCAATGGGCCGAAAACCTTCCTATGGGCTTTATAATTTCGAGTGAGGACCAAGATAAGGCCCAAACTCTTCCATAATTGCCCCATTTCGGCCCAACTGTAAAAAAAAGAGAAAAGGAAGAGAACCAATGAGCATGAGACACATCACACTTGCATAATGGACTTCCATGCAAAGTAACCATTAAGTAAACTACCAATCTCATACATCTAGGTGAACATCACATCTTCTTTCCCTCTCTCTCTTTATCTCTCGGCCGAGAGCTAACACAACACACACTCTTTCAAATCCTCTCCAAACACTCTCAAAGATCATCCTCCTTCCTCCAAGAATCTCAAAATTTTTGCTTGTGTTTCAAGGATCTTCATCAAGTATTTTCAATCTTTGGTAAGTGTTATCAAACACAAACATCTCTTTTCAATTTAACATCAAGAACTCCTTCTTACATAGCTTTATTCCATGATCACACTCTTAGAAACTTCTTAAGCTCGAAATCTACTCAAGAAGGCTTGCTAGGACCAAAAATCTCTTCATTTCTTATTTAAAACCGAAACATCAAAGCAAAGGTGAGTTCATACCCCCTTGTTTTCGGTTTTCATATGATTTTAGGGGAGAATACAAGTAAAATGTGTAGATCTATGTGTTTTATGCATGTCTTGTGTGATTTCTTAGTTTATTTTGTAAAAATGTGTTAGATCTTAACACATCTCGACATCTTAAGCAACATTGAGTAAAAATCCATGAACTAAGACACCTTATACATCATATTATCAAGTTAAAAGTGTTCATTGTTTAAGATATGAAAATTTAAAGCAAAAATCTTGTTAAGGGTCATATTTGTCAAGAAAACAAAAGATAAGGGCAAAAAGTGACATTTACGGTTTTATAAGGATCAAACAGGTCATACTTATATAAAAATGAGTTTTCATGATAACCCTACTTTTCAAAGGGACAAAAGTGTAAATTTTAGCCTATTGGGCTTAATATTTGGGCCTCACGGTTTTGGGCCCAAATTTGCGAAAAATAAGAATTTTGGGGTTAAAAATGTCATTTGATCAAAGTTTGAGTCATAAATGTAAATAAACCAAATTTAGGGGTGAAAATAACATTTATTTCTAAATTGGGCCAAAAATGTAACTTTTATAAAAATTGGGCCGAAAGTGTCATTTTATGCAAATAAGGGGCTGAAAATGTAATTTTCTGCAAAATTGGGCCAAAATGTCAAAATATGAATTTTTGGACTAAATCCGTAATTACAAATTTTTATAAATTATGGACTAAAGTGTTATTTTTACAAAAATTTGGGCCTTAATTGAAAATTTGAGGCTTATTGGCCAAGAACGTCGTTTTTACAAAAAGAGGACTTTTTATATCAATTTGGTAAACCTCGAGCTAAAAAAACAACGAAATAATAACGAATGGACGAAATACATCGATAACAATTTTTATTGGGCCTAATATTCACGTTACATGGCCAATGGGCCTTAAGGGCCCATTCAAGTGTATATTGAGCCTAATATTTTTCATGACATGTTTATTGGGCCTTGCGGCCCATTTACATGTTAATTTGGGCCTGAGCTATGGGTCACATATTTGTTGGGCCTTGGTGGTCCATTTACATGCCTATTGGGACCAAATTACCCTCTTACATGTTATTGGACCTTTGTGGTCCATTTACATGTTAATTGGGCTTGGACTGAAATTCACATGCTTAGTCGATCGTAACTATACCTTTACATAATTATTGAACTTCGTATACTCGTATATGTACTTTTTGGATATGAAAACATACAACATACACGTAAACATTAAACTTGGTGAAAAACATAACAAACGTGAAAGGTTGAGAATCTAGTGAGACTTGTCGGTTGGCACCTTTGAGTGTACAATCGTAGCCTGTAGTTATAACCAGAGTTTCCTGGAGGGAGAGCGAGAGTTTGTGTATAGATCTATACGGGGTGACCCCCCACGCCTTAGCTGTTCGCTACAGCTAGACTAGGCCAGTCTAGGGCGACAAAACCTTGAGCAAATACCGGCGTTTGGAAAAATGCCAAGACATGCAATCTAGTCATTATCATGCATGGTTATAACGACTCATATAGAGATCCCATACCAATTTAACATTTTGGAGATTAACCCTTCGATCGTGTCAATACAAAACAACTTATTTGATGATACAAGAATCACAACATTATTATAAACTAGGAAAGAGTTGCCCCCACGTTGCGGGGGTCAGTTGGTATTAGAACTTTTTTTTTCTCTCTTTTTTTGAAGTTCTTTTTGTCACACCCTACAAAACCAAACCAAAATATCAATTGGTTAATCAATATACAGATTTACCCAACACAACATGCATAATTTTTGATGAACAACATATTTTACTACCATCTTGTGAACCATTTAACTTTAAATTCTATAATTCATAAGTATTTGTCTCATGTACGGATATACATGTGGTCTCTTAAGTGGTTGCAAAAATACCAACCTAATCAATTTTCTGATACCATATCTCCTCTCTTTCCAAATTCATGAATTAGCTATAATATTTTTTAGTTGTACCTACAATAAAATTTTGATATTATTAGTGAATACAAAAGGTATTAATGCTTGGTTAGCAAAATTACCTCGTGGATAAGCATTATTCCTCCACTTTTAATTCTTGCTTTAACCACCACCTTTCGCTTTTCTAAAACCTAATTCCTTTTACATAATACTCCACAAAATCGGTATTTACTACAAAAACCAGAGGTCAAAACCTCAACATGATAAGATATAAATCCCAAATGAAAAAGAAATAGATTCGAAATCACATAAAGGACTAAGTTTAATGTAGCACTAATACTCATAAACATTTCATTGAACACATGGTATGCCAAAATGACCTAAAAATAAAGTTGAAATTCCAATATTACCTTCCAATTTTCCTTCTTCCCAACCAGCCTCATAAACCGTTCCATTTTTCCATCTGTATTTACCCTTGACATTACCAAAGCAGACATCTTTTTCTTGTAGAACAATATCCAAATTACTCATCCTGAAACAATTAGTTATACATAGAAGAAGAACATAGTCAGGTTTTGAAAACATAATTTGGCATTTGTTGGCTATTTAAGAATGCATGCAAATTGTGATTAATCTTCGAATTTTTTGTATGTACAAGACCACCTAATTGAATATAAAAATAAACAATCAAATAGTAATAAAAAATCCCAATTCAATTATTCTAAGAAAAAGGTGAAGAATACAGTTGACAATCAATAAAACATGTAGTTAAAAAATCTCTAAAACACACGAACGTGACAAAATAAAATATGATGTACCTCAAATTAGCGATACTAATTACGCATAATCAGATATAGTGAACTTTATTTACTATCATTCACTGACAATCACCAAATTGACCATTGAAACTGGGTTTTTAGAACTCCATTATCGGAATAGAGAGACATAGAAAGAGATAAAGGAGAGCAAACAACATACTTGAGAACATCATTCATGATGAGGTCATGCTTCAATACTTTTACCTCATCGATATCTCCAACCTATAATTGCAATCAATTTAAATAGAATTACCTCCTTATAAAGTCAAGAAGAATGGAAAACAAATAAGAAGCATCTGCAAATGAAATGATCTCTTCCTCAACAGAAGCAAATACAAAAGTGTAGAGCTCATCAGCTGGAATAGTTGCTGAAGTAGCTACTTGTGATTGTGATCTTATGAGACCATTAAGTTTTGTCCATATTTTTTAATTGACATTATTAATATTATTATCTCCAGATTCTGATGTTGAGAAACCACCACCAAATTTAGCAACTGATAATTATTTGTAATTTTGTTACATCTAGAAACCAAAAAAATGAGTAACACCCAACAAAATCTTACATCTCAATCCACAATAGTTATCTGTTCTGTCTCATCTTCCTTAAAAGATGATAAAAGTCTGTAAAAACAAAAACCTGTTATATCTAAATATAATGAAAAGTTTTAAACGTAACAAACTTCTTCTAATAAACAATATTGTACGTACACAACTAAACTAAAGTCACCTGTCAAATACACAGCTTCCAGAAAGTAAAGAGCAACCTCTTGCAACCAAAACATTTTTACACATCAAACCAAAATAAGTGACATCAAAACAAAATTATATACTAAAAAAACATTGTTGGTAATCATACTTTTAGTGACATACATGGCACGCTACTTTCTCCTAATGATAAAAAGTTTTTTCATCCCTGTGATCCATGTAAATTGGGAAAAGGAAGACGGTCAATAGCGATGGAGGATCTTATTGGAGGACTTTGGGCGAGGGAGTTGGTGGAGAGACAAAAGTTGACCGGGTCAAAATATTTGAGTTGGTGAGGGACAGGGATCAAAGTTTTTAAAAGAAGAAAAATAATGGACCGAAGGTTTAAAAAAAAGGAAAATAAAGCTGCAGAAATCAGAATGAGGAAAACATCATTGTTTCCTAAAATTCATGTGAATTAATATAATATATTAATATCAAGAAACATGGTGGGTGTTCCCTAAAATTCATGTGTATATTCATCCCCAAGTTCCCCCTGCTATAATTCTTACTATAACCCCATCTTCAGTAGCTTCTGCAATATTCCTACTCGCCATCTCTTGGTACCTTGGCTCAATCCTGCATGTATCTATTGTATGTTCAACAAATAAGTCATGAATTCCCACTTATAAGAAATCCCATTCAAATTGTTGTTCAAAAGTGTCATTGTAGCATTAATCGTTGCCATTATGTGCATGGAAAGTTAAGTCGAATCATACATACTTATAAAGCTAGCATTTTTTCTTGAATCTCATGCATTTGAAACCCCCTTTTTTAACTTCCTTTCACCACATTCATTTGAAACTCCCATGACTTTTCAATTTCTTTATAATAATATTATAAATAAGTTAAATAATGTTCTATAAACAAGAAAGGGTGTTTTATTACAATGTCTTCATCCCACATCGATGGTGAGAGTAAACAAGAGAATGTTTCCTCTTCTATAAATAGGAAAGGTTGTGAAATGTTTCAAAGGGATCAAACCATGAGAACTTCCTCATGCCTACCTTTGTAGGATTTTGAAGGTATTATTTGGTGAGATTGTCTATATTAGCAAGTGTCCAGTTAACTTTTAGAATTCCAAAAATGGTTTTAAACCGAATTTTTTCAGGTTTAAACCGTGTTTCAGTTAGAAAAAAATTTATGTAGTTGGGTATATTAAGTTGAACCGGAGCTGGATCAATTTGGACCGATAAAGGAATCATTTTCCTTTCACAACAAACATTTGAAACTCCCATGATTTTTCAAATTATTTATAATAATATTATAAATAAGTTACATAATTTTATATAAATATAAAAAAGCATCTACCTAAACCTAAAATTATAACTATTTGAAAAATCACTTTGATTCAAAAGCACGAAATATATACAAACCGGGTTTCACTAGAAAAAAAAATATGTAGTTTGGTATATTTAGTTGAATCGGTCCGAGTTTGATCTATTTGGACCATAAAAGAAGCATTTTCCTTTCACTACATACATTTGAAACTCCCATGATTTTTCAAATTGTTTCCAATGATATTTTAAAAAAATTACATAATGTTATATAAATATAAAAAAAACATCTACCTAAACATAAAATTATAATTGTTTGAAAATTCGATTTGATCAAAAGCACGAAATATATACGCATATTATATTTTATAAATGAATTCTTTTTATAATGAACTTTTGAATCTTGAAAATACATATAAACAAACTTTCTATATTAAGTACCTAACTGAATTTATGATTTTAGAATTGAACAAAAAGTTATTCAATAAAAACTTACTTTTTCGGATAGCAACTTACGAGATTATAGAAAAATGGAACTATTGAACAATAAAGAAAGGGTAAACAAGAGAGAGGGTGTTTTAATAAATAAGTTGAATAATGTTTTATAAACAAGAAAGTGTGTTTTATTACAATGTCTTCATCCTACATCGATGGTGAGAGTAAACAAGAGAACGTATCCTCTTCTATAAATAGGAAAGGTTGTGAAATGTTTCAAAGGGACCAAACCATGAGAACTTCCTTATGCCTACCTTTTTAGGATGTTGAGGGTATTCTTTGGTGAGATTGTCTTTATTGGCAACTGTCCATTTAAGTTTTAGAATCCCGAAAATGGTTTTGAACAAGATTTTTTTAGGTTCAAACAGAGTTTCAGTTGAAAAACCGTTATGTAGTTTGGTATATTGAGTTGAATCGGTCTGAGTTTGATCAATTTGGACCGATAAAGGAAGCATTTTACTTTCAGCACATACATTTGAAACTCACATGATTTTTCAAATTGTTTCTAATAACATTATAAATAAGTTACCTAAACATAAAATTATAATTGTTTGAAAAATATATTTGATTCAAAAACACAAAATATATACAAACCGGGTTTCAATAGAAAAAACGGTATGTAGTTTGGTATATTAAGCTGAATCGGTTCGAGTTTGATCAATTTGGACCGATAAATGAAGCATTTTTCTTTCACCACATACATTTGAAACTCCCATGATTATTCAAATTGTTTATAATAATATTATAAGTTACATAATGTTATATAAATATAAAAAAATCTACCTAAACATAAAATTATAATTGTTTGAAAATCACTTTGATTCAAAAGCACGAAATATATACTCGATTATATTTTATAAATGAATTCATTTTATAATGACATTTTGAATCATGAAAATACATATAAACAAACTTTCTATATTAAGTACCTAACTGAATTTATGATTTTAGGATTTAACAAAAAGTTATTCAATAAAAACTTAATTTTTTATAGCAACTTACGAGATTACTGAAAAATGGAACTATTGAACAATAAATTTTCTGGATAACGTTTTATTTTTATTATTTAATATTTTATTTAACAAAATGAAATTAATGGCAAATAAAGAAATGAGTTTAATTAAATTGTCTTCATCCTAAATTGATCGTGAGAGTAAACAAGAGAATGTATTCTCCTCTATAAATAGGAAAAGTTGTGAAATATTTCAAAGGGACTAAGTCATGAGATCTTCCTTGCATCTAACTTTGTAGGACGTTGAGTGTATTCTTTGGTGAGATTGTCTTTGTCGACAAGTGACCAATTAAATTTTAGAATTTCAAAAATGATTTTGGACCGTATTTTTTAGATTTGGATCGAGTTTAATAAGGATCCGAGTGTCTTCTGGCTGAGTTAGGAAAACTCGCTTCCATTGGAGGCCGAGTTTAAGTAACATGCCGTGTATTTGGTTGTGTTAGCCAAGTTTTACAACCCTGTATGTTAATTTAAAGTTTTAACCTTATAAAAGACGTCACTATTATCATATGTTCTATATAATTATGGTAATATTTATGATACAAAACATTTTTTTTTACTATTTAAGATAAAAAGTTGTCTCTATTATCATATGTTGTACAGAATGATAAAATATAATATAGATAAAAAGATGTCTCTATTATCGTATTTTCTACATAAAGATAATATTTAATATAAACGTTTTAATTTAATATGAAATTATTATTTAATAGATAACAATAATGATTTATTTATTTTTAATTTTTTTTTTCTATTTTAATCATATAACTTTATATATGCAAAACAACTTCAAGTTCCAACCTTATCTCTTATAATATAGTTCAACATTATAACAATACTAAAAATCATTTTATAGATTTTTTATGAAATTATTATTTAATTGTTAATAACAATGATTTAGTTATTTTTAATATAAAATATTTTTTTATATCCCACGCAACGCGCGGGCATTCGCCTAGTTTAATATATAAGAATACACGATGTGTCTAGAAGAGTGGTTGATCCATGAGTGCAAATATTTATGAACGTAAATATTCTTTGATGTTCATAATCACTAATTATGAACTTTAGAAGAATAAAATTATGTCACATTCCACTGAGGCATAACATCAAACAGGTGGTGTGCAATTATGCTCAACTTAAAATGAGTTTCTATTTCATTGCCAATCATTTTTATTTTTTAAGATTCATGAATAAAATAAAACAAAAAGTAGTTGTTTATTGAGATTTATATTATATCAACAACCAAAAAAAGCGTAATACCTATACAGTTTGTTTCCTGTTTCTGTATTTGCACATAGGACCAGTGCAAAATGCCAACTCTACATAAATTCCAAAGGCGAATAGAATTGAGGATTCCCAGAGTCTAAAATCATACATGTCAATTTTTATCGATTTTGAAAATCAAAATATAAAGGTACCTGCTAAGTGATCGGGAGAGACGAAGTCATAGATATTGCGATGATGGTTGTGACGTCAGAATCAAATTCATGGTGGAGGTTGATTGGAAGACGGAGGTTCAATTCAAATCATACTGAAATTTGATCAGATTGAAACATCATTTACAAAATAAGTAAACATAATTTACAAAATCATTTACAAAATAAGTAAACATAATTTAAAAAATAAATATAGAAAAAAGCCCTAAAAAAAGCGGTTTGGATAATAACCTGTAACTGCTCATCGGAATGATGCAGCCAACCCCTTCTGTCTCCAGTTTCTTTTCCGCCTCCTCCATCGTCTTCCCTTTCTGTTAAACACCTTTTGTATCCGACAGATGTAACAAAAAACCTATAAATTTGCAAACGCAGGAATGAAAACATACGTGTGTTCAAGAAATTTACCTTGGTGGGTTTTATTAAAAGGAAAAAGCTTTTGCAGTCGATTTGTGCTCCATGATTGATTAAACTATTGAAGCAATTGAGGCAATTGATGGAACGATTGGAGCAATTACATTGAAATCGAACTCAGACAATTACCTAAAGATGCTTGATTTTTAGGAATTATGAAAGCATGAAGGAAACCAACTACTAAAGAGTGGATTTATGGCTATGCTGGTCATAGAAGAAGAACATAATATTTGAGGTATAGAAGAAATATAACAGATTGAGGCGGTGGTTTTGAGGCGGGTAGGGAATGGAAGGAACTGGAGGTCTAGTGATCGTCTCCAAAAGAGGAGGTAGATGAAAGAAATAGAAGGCGGTGGAAGCAACTGTATGTGATTGGGCGAGGGAGGCGGTGAGGAAACACTCGGAAGGGTCGAAGAAGCAGCAGATGGCGGAACGTGAATGGAACAGCTACTGTAGACAAGCCTCCCCGAAATTAAGTATATATATAATCAGAAAATATCGGATTTTCTGGGGAAATACTAATATTCAATTACCACTTACTTACAATACAAAGAAATTTAAACTACATTCCTATATGTTACTGCTATGAAATTCACACATGCATTTATACTCAATTTTCACATTATTTTCAGACATTTTACAGAAAATATCGAATTTTCTGGGTTTACAAAAGATGAAAAGACTTTTATTCAAACATACTTATGAACTCACCAACATTATATATGTTGACCATTTTCAAAATAACTTGTATTCTCAGGAAATCGTTAAGCAGGAGGATTTTCAAGTGTGTATGGATTTATTTTGTGTAACATCACTCATCGTACTACTAATACTTTGGATTTATGTAATCTATAACAATGTACTTGATGTGAACAATAACAGCTGTAATATGTAATGTTTGGTGATGAATGTGTTATGTTTCATGTATATTCATTGTGATGATATTTCAATTGTTAGTCACACGAGCCCTCGGACGTTTCTGCCGTCTGGTTCGGGGGTGTGACACGACACTTATATAACTCATAATAATAGTCCAAATATTTATTATAAGTTCCTAATAACAATACTATATTTAAATAAAAGCTATATTTAAAATATGGTAGGCGTATCTTACCTACAAGGGGGTTTGGCTAGAAGCCGGGCTCTGCAGGGGCAGAACTTCCGAGCCGAAAGCTCTTCGTCTCGGAGCCGTCAAGCGCTCCGGGGCTTTCTTCTAGCGCTAGGGGAGTTTTGGGAGTTTAGAGAGAGAGTAGAGAGAGAAGGGTGGAGGTGTGAAGAAATGAGGGTGGAAGGGGTTGTATTTATAGGGTGAAATATGGCTGAAATTGGTGTCACATGTCACCATCTAGTGGCAAACCTTGGGGAGAAAGCAATGGCCAAGATTGTGCCACATCACCCCTTTTGCAGCAGCACCCTGCCGACTTTTAAACCCCGTAACTTTCGCATACGAGCTCCGTTTTTGACGTTCTTTATATCCACGCGTAGGTAAAAACAAGATCTACAACTTTCCTTTTGACTCCGTTGGGTAATTATCGACCGATCTTAAATTTAACAGTAGGAGGAGATTATACAGTTAAATGACCGCGTAAAATTCATAACTTCTACATACGGGCTCCGTTTTCATTTGTCTTTTTATCGTTGCGCTACTAATAATGAGATCTTCAACTCTCATTTAGGTTGCGTTGGCCAAAAACCGCTCGATCTAAAATTCGAATTCCTGACTGTGCACTGCTAGGACAAATCTTAGAAAAATCATAACTTCCTCATACAAAGTCAGATTTGGTCGTTCTTTTTATGCACGCTCTCAGTTTAACGTATACTACAACTTTTGTTTAGATCACTAAGGCTAAAAAGCACTCTATCGTAAATTCACTATTTACGTCGCGCAGTGTCGTGCCGGTTCCGTCGCAAAACTTCGACGGGCCATAACTTCTTCGTTATAACTCGGATTTCGGCGTTGTTTATATGTACGAAATCCTTGTAACATATGATAAAACTTTTATTATGACTATTCCTTCTAAATAATATTGTATCAAAAAGTCATTTTCGACACTTATTGTCTCTAAATTGACTAGCCCGAATCTGCGGGCGTTACATGAAAAAGTTAAAGAACAGTGTAATATACACCTAGTTGTGTACATAAAAAAATTGGTGCTATGAGAGCTTCATGGAGGATTCTGTCATCAATAGAGCCAAAAGAGGAATCAAGAGGAATCAAGAGGTAATGATCAGAATGCAAAATGTATCAAGGAGTATCGACAGAAGTGGAATATGAACTCAATATCATTTCCAATGATTTAGTGCATGTCATGATCATCATCTGATTCCTCCATATGGTGCTTCTGGTGAATCATATATCTTCTATTACAAGATGTAAGTTCAAAACTTACATAATTTCGTACTTTGTACAACCCATTTCAATATTTTGCATCATTGTATTGGGATGCCATTCTTCTTGTAGTAAAAGGGATTATTATAAACATTTAGCAGAATTTAAGTCTAGAAATGGCAACAAATTTAAGTCTGGAAATGGCAAGAAAGATGTTGATATTTCAGTGAAAGCATATGGGCAGCTACCACTACATCAGAAATTGACTTGCCACCTACACACCATATTCGATTGGGACAAAATATAAATTTCTCGGTCTTCTATTATAAAGTTATGAATTCAGCTTAAAGTTATGGTTCAAGTGTTTGAACCATAGTCGGGTTCTGACCAAACTAGTAAGAAATAGTTCTTCCATCATCTATATGGCTAAGGTTAACCAAAATACTTTTTTTTCTATCTAACATCAATGTAAATTTAATTGTTTTTCTTTTTACAATATTAAAAAAATAAGCATGATTTTTTTTACCGTGAATTAACTTTGATTCTAAAAGGATGAATTTTGATTATTAAAGAATGAATTTTGATTCTTAAAGAATTATAGAGGCTGAAGGTGATGGTTTGTGATGTTGAAGTCTTGATGGTGTGTTTTATGTAGGTAGATGTCATGAGAGGATGGTTATGCTGATGGGTTTCAAGCAATACATCAATCTTATGGTGTACATGAAAACCCTAATAGCTTTGGATCTAGTTTGTCTAATGAACATGCAATTGAATATCCAAAGCTATAAACCCTAGATCTAACATATTATAAACTGAATTAGGGTTTAGTAATTACCTTTGATTGTTATATAGTAATAACAATCAATTCCTTGCTTTGATTGGCTTCAGAAAGCTTATTGCCTCAAGTGTTGCACCTCTAATGGAGTCACAAACACCACTAAGCAACTTGGATGAAGAGGGAAGAGACGGGAGGCACCAAAAACGGTTGGAAACCCTAAAGGAACACTTGTCCAAATTTTTGGGGCTTAAGGGTCCTTTATATACATGTAGGCTATTAGGGTTTACAACTAGGAAACCCTAATCTGGCTGCTTAAGCCCTAAGCAGCCCATGAACTCCTTTAACATATCCCTTGGACGAATTCCTTATGGGCTTCCCATAGAATTCGTCCAACCTATATATTATTAGGTGATCCATAGCCCAATGGTAATTATCTTATAATTACAACTCCAGTCCCCTAAGTTTAATTAATCTCTTTTAGTCACTAAATTAATTCTTAATTAATTCTTGACTAATATTAATTAAACAATATGATTTCTCCTTTAATATATTATTCTTATAATATATTAATAAATCATAATTAAACCTTTCTCTCCTTAATTCATCCTACATATTGCTATGGTGAAGGCAACCCAAAAGGACCATGCTCATAATCGGGTCAAGTACATACCAAAATAGTTATGGACTTAGACACTAATCCAACAGTAAGTGGTAATCAATATCGACCAGAAAAAGTGGAAACACAAAAAGTTTTAGACATTGTATTGTACACATATTCTTTAAGAATGATCAAATTCTTCAAGAATTACATTCGTTCGTGGTGGTGGTTTGTGATGATGATTAAAGTGGAAACACAAAAAGTTTTAGACATTGCATTTTCAACAATTCTTTAGTTGTATAAAAAAATGAGGTGAGTACCCTTCTGGTGTGTTTTTATCTCATAAGCATTATTTGAGTATGGATATATGACTGATTGATAGATTTGATTATACTTGTTGTATGTGTGATACTTGTATGCATGCTTAGTAGCTGAGTGTGGGCGGGGCCCATATCTCGTAGTTAGCCGAGTGTGGGCGGGGCTTGTATCTCGTAGTCAACGGAGTGTGGGCGGGGCTCGTATCTCTTAGTTAGCGGAGTGCGGGCGGGGCCCATATCTCCTAGTAGCATGATTATGTGTATGATATGTGGTAGTTTGGGGAGACTCACTAAGCTTCGTGCTTATAGTTTTCAGTTTTGGTTTTAGGTACTTCCGGTAGCAATGGGAAGAGTTCGGGATGATTGCAGTGAACACACCATGATTTTAGCCTGGGATGTTTTTACTCTGATATGTTTTGACAGATGTTTATGATGTTTTGAGAAACAATAACTTATGATTTTCAGGTGATGTTTGATAGCTATGGGTTTTATTCACAATTAAAAATGAAATTTTTTGGACCGTATTTTTGGGATGTTTCATGATATAATCAAATGTGAATCTTACATGATATATACATATGCATTTTTGTGAGTATTCTTGCATTAATCAATTTTCGTTTTAATTTGCTTTTAGATTTGGAAGAATTTGTGGGAAATATTGAAGAGGAGAAAAATTATAAATTGAAGAAAACTGGAAATCTTGACACGAAGAAATGATAATATTTTGAATATTTGTAGCATTTTTTGTTTTTATATTTTTATTTTGTATCGAATAAAATACTTCTACTATTGTGTTTATAGATTATTAATAAAAATGGGTTTTTTATGATTTACTTACGAACATTATAGTATAAGAAATATGCATATATGCATTTGAAAAACACATGCATACATGCACCTGAAACATTAATTTTTTGGTTAAAAAAATTATAGTGTTTTTAATATTACAACTTTTTGTAAAAAAATCCAGTTTCAAAAAAATATGTTTTTTTAGAAAATCATATTTTTTAGAAAATCATGAAAATTATTATTTTTATAAAAAAAATCCGAAAATTTTATTTATAATTTTAATTTTTACATTTTTGTTAATATTTACAATAACACAAAATATTAAACATTAAATTAGATTGGGCGTACTGGCTCTCAAGATGGCCGCGAAGGCGCCCACGCACGCTGGGCGTACGTGGGAATACGCAGGGCGTACGCTTGGCTGGGGCAAACCCTAATTTTTAGGGTTTGTACCGTATTTAAACACCTTAAGTTGCCTTTGGGGGTTCTTATGACTAGCCTCCATCTCTCAAAACCCTAAGAACGAAACCCTAGCTCTCGTTTGAGTGTTTGTGAGCCTTTGTTGTGATTTTGAGGTGTTTTTGGATCCTTTGAAGGAGGTCAAGCTTAGTGGTGAAGCTTTGGTGGACTTGGAGCTTGAAGATCCAGAATCTTCATCAACTTTGCAAGTTATTTGAGGTATAATTAAAGATCCTAACTTGATGGTCCCTTATGATAGATCTAGTTTAGGGCTTGTTTTTATGCTTTTTATTGTCCTTTAAGCCATGTGTAACATCCAGATTTTCAGGGATATCATTGTGTATGTTAATCTTGATATTGAAGGAGAGACTCGACGAGTTGAGGGTCCAACTCGCCGAGTCGAATCGAGTTGCTCGCGTGAATTTAATGAATGGACTCGACGAGTCAAATGTGGGACTCGCCGAGTAGGTACTGGGCAGAGAAACCCTAATTTACCGGGTTTGGGACCTATTTAAAGGCACTTATAGCCTCATTTGCGGCTACCCTTCCTTGAGAGAAAACCCTAAACGTCCATAGAGAGCCATGCGAGTCTTGGAAGCTAAAACTTGGAGTAGACTAGTGCATCTCTTGAGGAGAAGAGGAGATCATCCAACAAGGAAGCTAGAGAATCAGTGGATCTGGTGTACCTCCGTGCAAGGGCTTGAGTAAGAGGTAAAAGCTTGCACCTTTCTTGTTATTTTGCTTAGATCTTGTTGTTATGGAAGATTAGGGTTTCTTCCACCATTGTTGGGACTTTGAATGCATAAGGTCCCTTTTGAGGTCTAGATTTCAGATCTGGACTCTGTGAGGTCCAGAGAGTCCAAAGATGATAGCTTTATTTAGCCATATAAGAGTTATTGTGGTTAATCATCCTTGTTAGAGTTATATTGGCATTATGAGCCCTATATGCCATGTTTAAACGTAAAGCTTGCAGCTTTACGTATCAATCGACCCTTAGGATGGTAGATCTAGTGTTTGGGGTGATGGATCTGCCTTAAATCGTTGGAATGAGGAATCTGATCGAAGGGACTCGCCGAGTCCATGGCCTGACTCGACGAGTCGGTTAGGGTTTGTCCCGATGAGTTTGTTCATGCGATAACTCGGCGAGTTGGGGGTCAACTCGACGAGCAGAGCTGGACTTTCTGGAGACTTCTGAGGAAATGAGGGGACTTGACGAGTTGCATGAGTGCACTCGACGAGTCAGGTCAAACATGGACTATTGACTTGAGTTGACTTTTGTTGACTTTGGGGTTTAGTCAACGTGAGTAATGGAAACCATGGAGAGGTAGGATGGCCTTTTATCCACTTCAAGAGT